GCTGTTGATGTACAACAGGGTGACTATGAGTCTCAGGCAACTCGATGGCACGTAACAACTCCTGATCTTGCCTTCTGGACAAAGTTTGTTTGTTATCTTGTCCATCAGCTTCCAGAAGCTTACCTGGTGATCATCAACATCAAGAAAAGCCCACTCTCCCTCTAGCTGAACTCAGAGCTGGGCTATCTGGGCTTTGAATTTTCCTTTGGTCAAGAAATTCCTGCTTGATTTTTTTGCTTTTCCCAGTCTGAGTTCTGAGTTCTCTTTCCAGCCCTTCTGGGTTCTTAGGAATTTAGAAATTGCTGGTCTATTAGTCTGGCTCAATTCATGTCATCATTTATAGAAAATATGTCCTGGAGAATTCACGGGGGATTATTTAGAAATTGATTTGTTGTTGTTGTTATGTGCCGTCGAGTCGCTTGCGACTCATAGCAACCCTATGTACAACAGCTCTAAACTCTGCTCTGTCCTGTGCCAATCTCATTGACTCCGACACACTCATCCCAATTGTCCCAGTCACTGAATCAATCCATCTCCCAGAGGGCCTTCCCCTCCTGCACCTGCCCTCCACCCTCCCAAGCATGATGTCCCTCTCCAAAGACAGGTCTCTCCTTACAACATAACCAAAGTATGTCAGACAAAGCCTCAGAATCCTTGCCTCCAAGGAGCCACCCGGTTTAACCCTCTCCCGGATGAATCTGTTTGTTCTCTTAGCAGTCCATGGCACCTTCAGCACTCTTCTCCAACACCAAAGCTCAAAAGCATCAATTCTCCTTCTATCCTCCTTGGTCATTGTCCAGCTCTCTGTTGCATAACAAGTGATTTCGAAGACCCTGGCTTGTACCAGATGCACCTTTGACTCCAGAGACACACCGTTGCTCTTGAGTACTTTAGAGAGGTCCCTAACAGCAGACTTTCCCATGGCAATACGTCTTTTAATTTTCTGGCTGCTGGTGTCAAGAGTGTTGACTGTGAAGCCAAGCAAACTAAAGCTGTGAACAATCTCAGTCTCTTCACCATCCATCCTGATGCTGCCAATTGATCCAGTGGTGAGAATCTTTGTCTTCTTGACATTGAGCCTCAGTCCATACTGAAGGCTGCAGTCCCTGACCCTCAGCAGTAAGCGCTTCAGATCCTCCTCAGTTTCAGCAAGCAGGGTTGTGTCATCTGCATAATGCAGATTGCTTATTGATCTTCCACCAATCCTGATGCCACATTTCTCCTCATAGAGTCCATCCTCCCAGATGATCTGTTGTGCATATGGGTTGAAAAGGTACGGAGACAGGACACATCCCTGGCATACGCCTTTCCCAATTTTGAACCATGCAGTGTTTCCTTGCTCTGTTCTGACAACTGCCTCTTGGGCAAAAGAAATTTATTTTTTAAAAAAAACACAACAAAACCACCACAACCAAACAAGCCCCCATGGAGAAAACTATCAGCAATTTTATATGATCTAAAGATCTGAGATTCCTACATGAAATCTGCCTGAGTAGATGCAGACTGTATTTGAATGGTTAAGGTGAGAGAACAACAAGGCTCAGCTCATTTCCTTCGGGTCAGAACTGACTCATAGCTGACCTTCCTGCAGGTTTTCTAAGACAGTAAGTAGGTAAGGGTAAGTCACACTGGAGGAGATTGTCCATCTTTTTCTCAAGGAGCTGCTGATGAATTGGAACTATCAGAGAGAGTTGGCAGGGCAACTCTCAACAGAATCTGGCCACCAGAGTTCCCTCAGGTGACAGGTGCTCTGACAAACTGAAATCAGGTCAGCTGCAAAGCCTTAGAGTCCTGATAGTTGGGGAAGTACATTCTACAATGTTCTATTGACAATGTGCAGTAAGGTACCAAGGCAAAGAACACAAGCTGTCACAGGCATTTCCTCGAGGATGATGTCCAGGGCAAGAGTCCAAGGAAGAGACAGGACTCCATCAGTGTGCAGTGACAATCCCTTCTTCTTCTTCTTCCTCAGTGGTGATCAGTGTAGACTCTTGGTACCACTCAGCTCTAACTCTGGAATGCCTCCTCTTTGGTTATTCCAAAATCCTCTATAAAAAATCAAACCCCAACTCTTAGTCATTGATTGGATTCCTACTCATGGCAACCCTCCAAAGCCTCTGTTGCTTTTGTTGTTGTTGTTACTGTTATATCGCTAACCCTCCAGCTGGTTTCCAGAGGCTATAAATCACACTGGAGAACATTGCCCATCTTTCTCCTGGAAGCAGCCAGTGGCTTTGAACCCCTGCTTTTGGGTTGGCAGTGTACCAATTCTCAGTTTATTTAGGGAGCATTGGTGGTCTAATGGTAAGAAGCTGAGCTGCAATCCCAAAAATACATGGTTCAAATCCACCAGATGCTTCACAGGAAAAGGATGGACAATCTCTTCCTGGGAGATTTACTGCCTCTAAAAACCCACTGAAGGGTAAGCTATGGGTCGCTTTGGACTCAATGACACACAACAACACAAGTCCAGAGTGGGTCAAGCCTTTGTGTGTCTAACAAGGTTTCAAATCGTGCTGGTCCAGAGACTGCACTTTGGGAGACACTGAGAAGTTAAAGGGCACCTTCTGGAATCAGATTTCCTGAGATCTAAGCCTGTCCCCACGGCCTCTGTTCAACCCAGGGTTCCAGAGGTGGTTAGTTTCTCTACAGGTTTTTGTTTCCTTGTCTGTTTTAACTCTAAGGAATATATATATATTTCCTTTTTTTGGGGGGGTGGTATTTCAAGAGGTAAGAGATTCTACATGAAAAGAAAACCTGGTATGTGAAAGTGTTCACCAAACAGTAGTTGGTGGTATTTTCCCCAACACATCAACACTGTATGAAACTCTTTGGCTCAATGCCCTTCATGATCCCAAACCAGGGCGCTGGCTTTGGGAAGATGAACTGCAACAGTCTGGAAGGTGCCAGCGCTTGGAAGCCTCACTTCCACCAATTTTTCAAAGATTGGAATTCACATCCGATCTTAGCTGCCACCGACTCTGCAGCTCCATAGATTCAGCACCAAATGGAACTCTTTTTTAAATTTTGTACTGTTTACTTTAAATTGACCTCTTTTATCAAAATTCTTGTGATCTGTCATGGAAGGACTAAGGAGCTCAGGGCAGAAAAATCCTGGGTGCCACCCCAAGCAGGAAATTGTTGAATTCGGCCCCATGTGTTCAGATGTCCCAACTCATTTAGCGTCCAAGCGCCGCACTGGTCCCTGTCACTTTGCAAAGAAAATCCTTCTCCTTCCTATCATTTAAATTTGAAAAAACCAAACCAAAACAACAACCCACAAACAACGAAGTCAAATCAAGCAAAATGGAAACAAGAACAAGGCAGAAGAGTTTAATTGCTAGACTTGCTTTTTGTTTTTATTATCAACAATCAAGTTAATGGTACACTCTTGGAAAACTATATGCACATGTAGAAATATTTCCCTTTTAAATAGAAGCATTCATTATAACACATATAAATAAATTTGAAAATCTGAAACATAACTTATGATGATTATGTTCACAAACAAAGTCCAACGAGAAGAAGAAAAAGAAAACAGACAGACATGCACCTGGTAACAAAAATAGATAGCATTGTCTGAACCGTGGTCTCTCTAAACACAAAGGAATTGAACCCGTGAGAACCTTATTACTTCATAAAGACACGCCAAAAAGACTACGAGAAAAAACATCATACGGTCACGTAGAGGAGACGGTCTGTACTGATATTAACACGATACAATTGAGTCACAGAACACAGTTGTAGAAAGACACCGAAAAAGTTAAAGCCTCAACATTCAACTAATATCTATAGTTTGTGCCTTTAAAAAAAGAAAAACCAAAGAACCAAATCCCAAACTGAGATGACTAAACTGCGCGAAGAATGGAATCAATATACAGTCCATCCACCATCCAGGATGCGAGTCCGTTTCGGATCATTCTAACAGAAATGCAAACTGAGATGCTTCTGCAAACGTGTGCGCGCCTGTCCCTGCCCAGGCGCCTTCTCAGCAGCCGGTTATGAGTACTGTGACGGACTCTGATTCGAAGCAGTGTCCAAAAGTTCAGTAAAAGCTGGTGGAAGAAGAAGAAGAAAAGGCCGGCAGAAGTTGGGGGTGGAGGGAGAGAATGGGAAGAGCTGCGAATTAGGAGACACTGTTTGCAGAGTTTGGGGACGAAAAGGCATCTCATACAGGGCACCTTTCAGGACCAAGCGGCTGCAAAGATTTGGGGTTGGCAGTTAGTTGCACGTGTGTGGGGTTCGGATGCCAAGTAGAGGCGAGAAGGTGTTTCCAAAGGATGGACAGGCAGGAGGGCGCCCAAGTCGGTTGACGACTTTACGCTTGGACACGAGGGGACAGGACGCTGGACCTTAGCTTACTGTCCCCTGAGGAGGACCCCCGAGAGAGTTCAGGCTGCCAGGAACGAATTCGGGGGTTCCCAAGATCAAGCCCCTAAAGACTCTTTAAGAGCGCCAGCTGCAGCCTCCTCCGTGCCTTTACCTTGTCTATTTCTTGTATATTTCAAACCGCTCAGGGTTTTCTTTACAAAAGGTTGTGACCTTCCCCAAACATTGTAATTGTTGCATTTCGTCTACTTTGTTTCTTTTTTGTCTCTGTCTATACAAGTCACTGAGTAGATTGTGGTCCCCATTGTTCCCTGTCAGCCGCTCGCTCGGGCCACAGCCACGCATTCCGGAGACAGACACACACCGACACGCAGACACAGCCCCCTGAGAGCGCACGGGGTCCCGGCGGCGCCGCTCGCACCCGAGTCAGCGGGGCGCAGGGCGGGCACCTTCGCGCAGGCCCCGAAGCAGGTGCGAAGCCAGGGAAGGTTTCTGTTTATTCGTGGGGGTGATTGGGGCTAGGAGTGGGGTGGAGATGGGGGCAACGCCATTCTCTCTTTATTCTGATCGCGATTATGTTTGGCTCTCGCTGACCGCAGTAGCAGCGACGGCCACAGCCCAGGGCCCACTCCGGGCCCGCCCACCGCGCCGCCGCCGCCGCCGCTCGCAGATCAGAACATACTGCTCTTCACTAACGCCGCTTTGGCACCGTTGGGTCTTTGGAGAGAAGAGAGGACGCTGGCGAAGGGGCCCCCGAGCGAATCCGGGATGGAGGTGATGGGGCCAGGCCCCGGGGCCCAGCCTTG